CCCTAGTAGTGATGGCCTCCAACCTAGTAGCGATGGCCTCCAACCTACTAGCGATGGCCTCCAACATAGTAGCGATGGCCTCCAACCTCGTAGCGATGGCCTCCAACCTAGTAGCGATGGCCTCCAACCTAATAGCGATGGCCTCCAACCTAGTAGCTTCTTGTTACTAAGGAGCTTCAAAGACATACTAAAAAGCTTCTTGTTACTACAGGTGAAGCGATTCCCAGTGAAACGATTCCCAAGGAAGTTCTGTTCCTTTAATTACAGCTTTAACTGTTTTCTTTCGCTCTTTCTAGCATCTGGCCAACACTTACTATGAACGAGAACGCTGCGTTTGCTAGTCTCTTGGCACAGTCGTAGGTCTTGGTTCTAACTCCACACGGGCCGGTTCCACTGTGTACGCTGTGTAGGTCTCCCCGGACACTGGCAGCTGGCACGGCGGCGCCGTTTTGGATGTGAGTGCCGGCACTTGGTATTGTGGACAGTTCTTCGAGACAAAGCCAGCCCTTAGATGCAAGTCTTTTGATTTCCCATCAGAGTTGTTGATATTCAATTTGATTCATCCAGCACCTCCATTTTCACCGATGTTTCTTTTCTCATTTGTTCTCAACAATGAGCACCTATGGCGAACTGAGGTGGAGAAGGCTTTCATCCTGACATTTTTCGACACGACATTTTCATGCGAGTGACTTTAGCCAATGGTACTATGCAGGAGCAACGCCGTGTTACACTTTGGGCCAGAGAAAGATAAACAGATACAAACAGTATGTCGATGTATGCTTCAACTTCAGGCTTTCAAGTCGCCAAGACCACCTCAGTTAAATGCCTAAATCGCTATTAGGTTGGAGGCCATCGTTCTTAGATTGGAGGCCAGTTGGAGGCCATCGCTTCTAGGTGGAGGCCATCGCTATGAGAAAATATGTGCAGGACTTGCCATGCCCATTGGTGCCAGCTGCTTCGTTGCAGAGCCGCCGACTTCGGTGCGAGGCCACACGAGTGGGTTTCTGTGAGCGCTCGCCTGTTCAAAAACATGGATGTTACTAATAGCTTCTTGTTACTACTAGTAAGGCACTTGTTACTAGTTACTAATAGCTTCTTGTTACTACTAGTAAGGCACTTGTTACTACTAGTAAGGCACTTGTTACTAATAGCTTCTTGTTACTACTAGCAAGACACTTGTTACTACTAGTAAGGCACTTGTTACTACTAGTAAGACACTTGTTACTAATAGCTTCTTGTTACTACTAGTAAGGCACTTGTTACTACTAGTAAGGCACGTGTTACTAATAGCTTCTTGTTACTAAGGCACTTGTTACTACTAGTAAGGCACTTGTTACTAATGGCTTCTTGTTACTACTAGTAAGGCACTTGTTACTACTAGTAAGGCACTTGTTACTAATAGCTTCTTGTTACTACTAGTAAGGCACTTGTTACAGTAAGGCACTTGTTACTAATAGCTTCTTGTTACTACTAGTAAGGCACTTGAACAAGATGTTCACGTTGTTCAAAAAATGAAGAGTTCGAAAAAATAGACATCACGGAAGTGGATTGGGATTGAAACAGATCCTCGTTTGACCTGCCCATGCGTGCACAGATTCAAAAATTCAATGGCTTGAGCCAGTGCTACTGTATTATATATATATTCTTTGGGAACTATTGTAGATCGAGACTTCTTGAGGCACCCGCGCTCACGGAGCCTTTGTTGGAGTACGTCAGGCGAACGTTTTCCATTTTTTTTCATGACTACTTTCATCACTCAATCCATTTCTCCAAGCAGATTTACAGCTTTATGTAGAGACACGTCACTGGATTTTGGATTTACGTTCTTCATCTTTGAACTTTTGCTTTGCAGGAGCGAGGGAGGCTTGGAAGAGGTCTGGGGCTCTGAAAAGTCGTCTCAGTTTATAGCACGCATTTGGCAAAGGACAAAAACTAACTATAGTCAGTACCTAGTACTGGAATCAATTAAACATTGGCGAATCCAACGACACCAATCTTGAGAGCCAAAGATGGCGATGTTGGCTACTTTGAAAGGTTTGGTGGCAAGATTCCTATGTAGAAAGACTGTGTCCGTGTTGCCAAAAGTAATTGGTACCGTCCAAGGCCCAAGGCAATGATATTTGCAAAAAGTGGCTTTGCGAGATTTTGGAGTTGCTTGCCGCAGCGTTGATACATCGGTGGCTGAGAGCAAGTGTCCAATCAAACCGCTGCCTACCATTCTCACCCTTCATTCGCAACCTGCAGAGACTCGACAAGGTCATGATTCTACATCACTCAAATTCATCCACTTTAAGGGCTGAACCTTCACTCGCTTAACAGGTGGCAGAGATTAATCTGAAAAACATAGTCACACCTCAATCTGATCGATCCGATCGATTCTCATCGCCCGATAGCAGCATTTAACCACACTAGCTGCTGCTAGGCCACAACGAAGCGTGATAGCCATGGCGCCCCTGAAGCGTCCTTCCAGCGCCCTGTCGCACTCCACGCGCTCCGCCCTCGGTGGCGTCTTTCCGCTGGTGGCGCCCGAGGACCAGGCGCTGGCGGCGGCGCCGCTGGAGGAGCTCCGGCAGACCGTGGCGGCGGAGGTGCAGTGCGGAGCGTTGGCGGGCGCCAGTCACGTGGTGCTGCGCCGGGGGAAGTGTGTCTTCCACATGGGCGATGGCAAGGCCAACAGCAAAGAAGACTTCAACGTCAGGAGAGTTGAGACATGTTGAGACCGAGGCCATCGCTACGGCCATTGCTGGGTTTCTTTGGGAGTCCAATGCCAGTAGGGCGGAGACCGGTGAGACCGAAATCCATCTTGACCGAGACTCTCGAGACTTAAGTTGCCAGAGGGTAACATCGTATGAATCGAGCTCCCCACGCAACACTGCTTTCGGGATAGGCAGGGCAAACAGGGCCCCGGGATGAAAGTAACACACCATCAGCAGTACCATCACCTTCGAATGTTCCTTTGTTCCTTGAGGACCCTTTGCAAGCTCCATGGATGTACCAAGCCACTGGTCGCATGCGCTTTTTTGACCTTAGTCGACAAGGGCAAGGCAAAGTTGTCGGATCCTGTGTCAAAGTATCTATGGTTTTCTCACAAAGAAGCTTTTTTACTTTCTTGATTTGGGTCTCAGATTTAGAAGCAAACTTAAATACTCCCCACTGCTACCAGCAAGAATGCTGTAAACGAGTGCTTTTTTTCACCGTTCTTCGAGTGAACCTTCACTGTTTACTACTTAGTTGTTCGGGACTATGAGTTAGTCAAAGCTGACCTCTTGTTTGGATGGGATGGGTCGGGTTGCCATTTTGGAAGTTACATTAATTCTTTTTTTTCGTATGCTTTAAGCCGTTTTGTACATCAGCGGTAATTAGCCCGCGTCACACGGGCCTGAACTTCCCAAGCCACCAGAAAAGCACCAGTGAATCATGAGGATTTCCAATACAAAGGTGCTGATGTGGGGTGCCCATGAAGGAAGGGTGTATTTGATCGTATTTGGGTGATTCAGGTACATCCCATTCTCATCCTCTGTGAAGTCAAAGCCGGTGAAGACTGTGCCAACGCTGAGAAACCTCTTGACGATGACTGCGGGGCTGCAGTACCAGGAATCACGGTGATTTGACTGAAACAGGAATCGGTACTGTCCGATGGGCCAATACTTAAAAAGCTACTAGTAGCTCCTGGCATTGCTACTAGGAACAAGAAGCTACTAGTAACAAGTGCATCGCTACTGTTAGCTAGAAGCTACATGCAAAGATTCTTGGAAGGCATTGGATGCAAGAAGGGACCAATGATCTCCAAGAGTCGCCAGGACTGCCCAGCCTACAGCTCGGTGATGAAGCAAATCCGCAAGGGCCAGATCCGAACGCTCAGCGCAATGTGTGATGCTTTGGCCAAAGCACCGCTGCAGAATGAACCAGGCGAGACGAACAGATTGAGAGGAGCAAATCGGCACCAAAGCATACTGCTTTCAGCATTTGATTTCAGCTAATAGCGATGGTCTCCACCCTACTAGCGATGGCCTCCAACCTAATAAGCTGAATGAGAGGTTCCTGCTACACCTACAGTTTTTGCACCGACTACCTGGGCTGGATTTGCGAGAAGATCAGCGGAAAGTCCTTGGAGTCCTTCATGAAGGAAGCCTTGCTGGAGCCCTTGGGCATGCGTGATACACACTTTGTAGTGCCAGTGACCAGCCTGAACGTAGGATTGTTGAGAGTCTGAGTGTTCGATAGTGTCCTTCCTGCCCAATCGACATGTTCGATAGGACTCTGTTGAATTCGGATGCTTTTGACCGTGACCAAAAGTCTAAGGCTAGCGCAGACCTTGGGACATGAAGCTAGTAGTAACAAGTGCCTTACTAGTAGTAACAAGAAGCTATTAGTAACAATAAGAATTTAATTAGAACAAGTCTCAGAATGTCTCAAAGTCGTCATGTCCTAGTAGATTCCTTTGCTAATAATTACAATTCTAATTAAATTCTTATTGTTACTACTAGTAAGGCACTTGTTTCTTAAACATTGTTACTACTAGTAAGGCACCTGTTACTAGTCTAGTAGCGTGGCACTTAGTTCATGTCTGTTTCCATGAGTCTCTCCATGAGGCGAAGAAGAAGTCAAGACAAGCAACACTCTACGAGTGCAATCGCATTGCTGGAAGCTACACTCTTAAGGCAGCAAATGGAAGCTGTAGGTCCTTTGAGTCCTTTGTATACCGTTCTTCAGATCCTTTTTGCTTCGGTTCTGCAGCATCGGGCAAGTTTGCGTATGAATATCTGTTTTTCTGGAATTTGGGAGGTCTGGCAACATCCAGAAAAGGCCCCCGGCATTATGAGCGGTGGCGGTGGCATATTGAGCTACCATGTGCCTGGCTCGCAAAAAATACCGATAGGCACATTGACAATGATAGACATGTTTCAAAGCGAAAGCGGGGAATGGTTGCGAGATGTTCTGATGCAGAGTAATTACCCGTGAAGCTCCAAGGGGTTTTATCCTAAAACGGCCCATCATGATGAAGGCATATCAAACCAGCTGCGCCAGCTGTGCATTCTAGGTGGAGGCCATCGCTAGTAGGTTGGAAGTGTGGACTAAATTGGAAAGTGGGATGCTCCTTTGACCATCGTTGAGTAAGACTTACATCACTGTTGTACTGGGTGGGGTAGTACCCATCACCAGACCCTCTCAAATGATGCGAGTTTGATGTATATAAGATTCTTTGAGGAAAATTTGTGTTTCTGAGGATGCTGGAATGTGGAGTACAGCAGAGGATTATGTGAAGTTCTGCCAACTCTTGCTCACAGGCGGTGAACGGAAATCTTAAAACCGTTTGATTTGATGTTGTGAGTACTCAGTGGTTTCAGAATCTATGTGTCTCAAGGTGAACCCTCCAGCCAGGTTGAATTCATTTAGATTAACATCTCAGCTTTCGAGCCAAAAACTGAGTTTGAACCATCGCTAGCTGGCCTCCAATCTAATAGCGATGGCCTCCAACCTAATTACTAGCGCTGGTTTGAACCTGACTGTTGTTTTCGAGTTACATTTGGATCGCATTCCAATCCTTGCGGCTGAAGACTGTCAGCTGCGAGGCCTATCTCCTTCCGGTCAACGGATATTGCGGCCAAAGACGCTCAAAAGCCTTTGGGAAGACAGCCTCGTTCCCTATGGCCGCAAGGAATGAACCAATTAATTGGGGTTCAGGTCTCAATAGGTGTTTCACACAATCGACACAATGTTCAGCCGTTTGTTCATAATGTTGTCTCTTTTTGGTGTGACCCCATCACCAGGATGGCCGCCTTCCTGGTTGGCATGATGCCGCTGGCCGTGCGCCTGGAGGCATCTCTTCGAGTTGCCTGCGCCTGCGGATTCTTTGTTTACCATTTGGGCACTTGAGCTGATCCGACCGCAGGCGTTTGGGACTACACAGGTTGGTCTCTGCTCAATACGCACCTGACCTTCCAGGAGGGGCATACAGCAGAATGGCAGAGAAAGAAACAACATGGAACAACAAGTCAACTTCTCTTCACTTCTGCAACACCTTAATGACCCAGCTGAAGAGAACTCACACTCTTCACTTCTTCTTCTGGGTGACGTAACGAGGAGCCGCCGAAGGCGGGCCACGTTCGCATGGGCGAGACCATGTGGATGGGCGGTGGTGGTGGAACTTATTGGGTCGTGGACCGTCGCCACCAGACCGTGGCGGTGTCCTTCTCCCAAAGCTTCGGTGGAAGAGCTTCCACAGATACTGCAAAGGACGTCGAGTGGACTCGGTTGAATGGACTTGGTGAATAAGTTGCTCTTTTCATCGTGCTGTTTTTTTAAATACAGATTGAAACACTGGCAGTTTCTTGAGTAAACTCCATCGCCGCAAACTCCATCGCTTCTTTTTCCCTTCGAGCTCCCAGGATGCTGCAGTCTTTGCTGAACAAGCGGTAGAAGAAGGGCGTGAGCTCAAGCGGCGCCGGCGCTGAAGATCCGGTTGACCAACGTGAAAGCTGCAGCACCTCCACCCCAAGAGCGATGGCCTCCACCCCATATGTTTGATTAAGTTATTTGCTTTTGCATGAGTAGATTAGGGCATGGACCCTTTTCCAGAACAGTCCATGCGAATTAAGAGTGCTGCAGCGCTTTGTGTTGGTAGGGCAAAACAGTGAGCAACTTGCCGGGCCTGCCTTGTACCTTCAGCTTGCGACTTCATTCAAATTTCATTTGTCGGAATGTTGGTGTCCCAAACCCAAGAAGGAGAGGGATCGAACGGTACAGATAAGATGAAACAAGATCAGCATGATCACAGGATGATCAGGTCAGTTTGGATATTCGATGCCATTTGCTCCCTAGATCCTTGGCAACGTCACCGTGCGTCTCAACGGCATCGAGTCCTCTTGTGGGCTAGGCAGGGCTCGAGGAAACGTCGCTTCATTCGAAGGAGTCGTGTCTATTACTACTAGCGATGCACCTGTTACTACTAGTAACAAGTGCCACGCTAGTAGTAACAAGTGCCTTACTACTAGTAACAAAGAAGCTATTAGACTTAATTTAAAGTAAATTTAAGGCACCTGTTACTACTAGTAAGGCACTTGTTCCTACTAGCTTTTTGTTACTATTAGCGATGCACCTGTTACTACTAGTAAGGCACTTGTTACTAGAAGCGATGCACTTGTTTCTAATAGCTTCTTGTTACTACTAGTAAGGCACCTGTTACTACTAGCGATTGTATGATGAGGTGCTTTCTCATTTTCTCTCTGTGTACTTCTAGTGATTCTAGTGAGTTGAGCAATGGTTTGGAGGGTTTGGCTTCAATTCTGTTGCCAAAAGCGACAAAGCTCCGTAAATTACGGATGAAGCATGATGAAGCTCTGCAGGTGAAGAGATGGGTGGAGCCTGGCAAAGTCTTGGTATGACTACCGTATGACCCCAACTTCTCCAGTTTCATTTGACATTTGACCTTGTGGGTAGCTTTCAAAGGCCAAACAAATCTGGATACCTGTTCCCGGAGAACTAAAACTTTGGTTTCAAAAGGGTGATCAAACAGATTCTGATGTATCAGCGTTGTTCAGCAAAAAACACTTAGTTCCCAGCTTGATCAAAACTCCTTCAGACTACCTTTGCAACCTGCCAGGATGCGTCTATCGTTTCTCACGGAGGAGTACACCTTCGGTGGTGAATGCTCTGAAGCCCAGTTGGGGGATGACCAAGTCATTCAATTCAATCAAAATTCATGGCTTCTGACACCGAAAGAACCCCATGGAGATCTTGAACACCCAGTCATGAAATGCATGCTTTGGGCATTATCATACCATATATTATATACAGTATATATCATATTATCATATGATCCGACACTCCGTTTCCCTTCAAGCAGAAGCTCAATCCCTTCGGCGCTTCTTGCACCGAAAGCGCTCGGTGACTCGGTGAGGTGTGGCCTTTGCATGGCGCCAGCCTCGATGCGGAGGACGGCAGAGCCTAAGTGCCACGCTACTAGGAACAGGTGCCTTACTAGTAGTAACAATGTTTGCTATTAGAAACAATAAGCTACTAGTAACAAGTGCCTTACTAGTAGTAACAAGTGCCACGCTAGTAGTAACAATAAGC